ATGTTTTGTTATTAGTTTAAGTATTTGCTTTTGACCGTTCAAATGTGGAGTTTTGCGCAGCGCAGAATAGCGCGTTGTGTGTGTGTGTGTGTGTGAGGGGCACGTATCATAGCACGTCAGCTGTCTTAACCTGCGCTTGTCAAAGGAGGGGCCTTTGTTGAAAACGACGTGTTTGAGAGAGGCGGGGCATAGAGGACCTACAATAATGTACAGTATTTTAAAAATAATATGTTTTTTGAACATTAAAGCACGTCAACATATTCTGTTGCACCAAATACACAAAATAATGATCTTTAAAATAGCATCATATGACCCCTTTAACAAACGATCTGATTGACAGTAGTGGTTCTAGGCAAAGTTGTTCAAAATGAAGAGGTCTATCATATGATACGAATATTGTGTGTATGTGTGAAAAGCCGTGCAATATACAATCGTTTACACCCTTGTAAAATGCGATATCGCCCCCCCAGTGGCTGATTTCTTTCAAACTTCTCACAGACCTTTAGGGCCATGAGTCAAACAGGCCCACTGAGGTTTGTTCTGATCGACCTCCGTTAACCTTGCCTAATAGGTGCTCAAACTTCATTGGCCAATGGTGGCCATGTTTTTTGAGATGCACAAATGTTCTTACAGACTCTTGTGGCACTTTGGACAAAGACTTGGCATACCAATTTTCATATTGATTGGACAAATGGTTTCGTAGTAAGCCATTTTTATGTTTTTTTTTCTCTCTTATAGTACCACCAAGCGCCACAATTTATTTTTCATGTGACCTCAGATTGAGCTCTTACATAAGTATTCTGAGTTTGGCGAAGATATCTCATTCCGTTCAATAGTTATAGCCATTTTAGTCAAATTGTTCCAGCCCCTTTCAAACATTTTGGCGTCCCTTTGCGACAGTGAGTTGAAAATGTAACTTTTTTTTATAATTATTGATATTCACTCTCCGTCAGTATCGATATATCGATATTTAGGATCGATATGCCCATCCCTACTGAACACCCGTTCACTGCTGCTGCTACTGGCCGGGATGCATAGTACTGATCTGGCTAATTTTGCAAGTTTTGGGTAGGATGGTTTGTCAGACTTTGCTTTAGTTGCTGGTGCAACCAAAACGTAATCGCCAGAGGCAAGCCTCCGTTTCACCTCCTCAGCATCCATTTTCGCATCTTTCTCGCGCTAATCCAAACGCATCACATGACCGCTCATTTACCGCGCAAGCCCGAGCCCAGCCCGAACCCGTGTAAAATGATATAAATTAAGCCCGAACCCGACCGAACCCGTCGGGTCCCGTCGGGTCCTGTCGGGTTCGGGCAAAGATCTTCAGCTCTACTCCAGAGAATGTTTCTGCATTGGTTCTGATCGGGTGAAAAACCTAGGACTAGTTCACAAAAGTAGGCTTTTTAAAAATCCAAAATACCCGAAAATTTAGCCCAGGTGATCATTGAATTCGAGGCATTCATTTTGTCCCGTTTGAGCTAATGGTACATTCACACAGGGTGTCGTTGTGAACGCCTCTCGTTTACTTTGAATGGAGTGACGTCAAGCATTGCCGAAATGAATTGTGGGTCCGTTGCTCACGGCAGAATTTGAAAACTTTTCAACTTTTATTCGCCTTATGCAAATACCCTGGTGCAGATGCTAGCCAATCACGTTCATGCAACACCAGACAACTAATGTGATTGGCTGTTGTCACTATGACGTTCGCGTCAGCACCAAGCTTCAGAAACGCCCTCCATCAAGCGTAGACGCAGACGCCCCGTGTGAATGGGGCGTAAGGATTCCAGCGACATTAGACCAGCCTGCGACTACTGCGACTAACGTTTTAGGAGTTATGAGCAATTTCATACTTCACTGTAGCACCCCTGTCAGGCCGATTGTGGCGAGCCTTGGTGAGTCTCTATGACTTACGGTTTCGTGTGCCCAATCAGTTTTATGTGGAGATTGCTGATCCTTGGCCATTCTAACAATTACAATAGGGTTTCAGAGCTACGCGCTTGAACCCCTAAATACTGACACTACTTGTAATGTACTTTTAAAAGTGGAGCAGTCAGGAGCAGAAGACGCACCATGAGTAGAGGAAGGACACATAGAAAGGCAGAGATACGGCCAGTGTGAGCCAGCGCCAGTCTCTGATGCAGTAAGCAACGGCTGCCAGAATCAGTTGGCCGGCGGTGTAGAAGTAGCCCGTTCCTGTGCCCACCACGGTCCGCACACGTGTTGGGATCCATTCCACAACTGAGGAGAAGCAGCAATGACACTTCATGCAACAAGATGTCGCCAAATAAAATGTCAATCAAATGCAATGTTTCTTTTTCTCTACACATGCAATAGGTGCCAACCTTTTATTTACAGATGTGTTATTCACTGTACTCACTTAGAGAGAAGGAGTTGAGCACCAGACCAGACAGGGCCATTCCGCAGCAAATGCGGAAAATGCAACACATGGTGAAGGAGGTGGAGAAGGTAGCACATGTTCCTCCAACTGCCATCATCAGGTTAGAGATCAACAATAAAACATGTCGACCAAACCTGCATCAGAAAATGAAAATTGAGTTAATGTGCTACTGCATTTCTGAGTCAGAAGATATTATATAATAGAGTTTATGATTATAATGTTGTTGTTGCTGTCGTATTTAATAGTAAAATTTGTCACAACCTGTCAGAAAGTCCCCCAAAAATTACTGCTCCCACAAGAACGCCTCCCATATAGGTAGTTTGACTCATTTGCTTTAGGGCACGCTGATCACAAACCAAATCCCACTAAAAGAGAATAGACATTCAATTAAAAACACACAGGATAAACATTATTACTTTCTTTTGTTTGCATATAGCATTCTGGACAGGTAAAGGTCATACATGCTCTTAAAACAAAAAAAAATTCTTCATTGGCATTCATGGTTCCATGAAGAACTTTTAACATCCATTGAACCTTTTCATTGGACAAAAATTCTTTATACTGGAAAAAAGGTTTATTCAAATGTTCTTCACACCAAGAAAAATGTTCACTGAAATGTTCTTTTGGGAACCAAAAACTGTTCTTTTGTTGCATCACTGAAAAAAAAAAAACCTTTTGGAACCTTTATTTTTAAAAGTGCATTGCATAAAACGTTCTTTGCAGGATGTAAAGATTCTTTAGATTATTAAAATGTTCCTGCTGAAAAAAAGAAAGCGAAAACCAGCCTATGGTTTTAGCTGGTTTAAGCTGGTCACGCTGGTCTCCCAACCTGACTAAGTAGGTGTTCAGCTGGTTTTAGCTGGTCGGTCAGCCAGGCTGACCAGTTGGTCTCCCAGTCTAACTAGGAAAAGAAGTTGTCAAGAACCCTCTAAAACCAGCTATGACCAGACTGGAAGACTAGCCAGCCAGCTTAGGCTGGTTTGAGCTGGTTTCTTCAGCATGGACACAAAGAAAAAATTATTTTATGACCCGATCAATGAAAGTTTCTTTGTGGAACCCAAAATGGTTCTTCTATGGCATTGCTGCAAAAACTCCCTTTGGGAACCTTTGTTTTCTAAGAGTGCTGTGGCCCCAAAAGTATTTTCACTCAGAAGTTGCATCTAAAAATATATGATTTTTTTTTAATGAATTTTTTTTAAATTATTGCACAAATGATGCAAGCTGCTATGCATCATAGCAGCTTAGATACCTTTTCATAGAAAGGTTTCTTTTCATAGAAACCTTTTCATAGACATTTACCATTTACCTCAGAAATGATAGTTGAGCTCATTTCTGTTGTGTTGTAGTACCATCCATCCTCACAACTCTGCGTCTCTATTTCTTCCACACCCTCTTCCCATAGGCTCTCTGAACTATTGCTGCTCAGAAGCTGCCACTGAGGATGTACATAGCGTCTGCAGCGTTCCGGTTTGCCGTTTTGGCCCAGGGGCACAGTGGCCTGTAGCACGTCCCCAACACCAATGGAGGACATTGAGAGGTTGGCGTAGGGGGCGCAGTGGTGCGGT